TTGGCGGTGGCTTGACCGGGCCGAGGGCAGGACCCGACAAACCGTTGTTGTTCATGTCCCCTGGAGCTCTTGGGCCGCCCACGCCTATGGCCGTCCCGTTCACCATCGGTGTGCTCCCCGACATTTGTCCCTGCGCCCATTAAAAACAACCTAGAATCTCTCTGTTCTCCTTCGTTCGAAAGAAAATTCGAAAGGAATATTAATAGGATTAAAAGTTGCCTAATGATGCGAGTTCCATTGGAATGGAATTCGAAATCGCGTTTTCCGTTTCGTTCCATCGGTGTTCGATAATATATAGAGGAGGGTTAAGTAAAAGTGGCATCGGGATGTTGATCCCAAGTGATCGATCCCAAGTGTCGCAATGCTTGAAACGAGCGCGGCTCAAACGATTTTAGGATCCCCTCTTAACTTACGTTGGACACGTGATTGTGTTGACCCACCGACTGGCCAAGTCCCTGATGAGGTTGCAGCGGATTGTGACCCGGATGCATGTTCTGGCCAGGCGGTGTCGGCGCTGGGGGCAGTTGCCTTTTGATGTACGCCAGCGTGGCCGGTGTTTGTACTGACATATTGGCGAACGCGAGCCTCTCCTCGTAGTCGAACTCGCATAGGATTTTGTTCTCGCACAGATAGAATCGATCGCCCACGCAAAACCTGCAATCAAAACGAAAGAGGTGGAAGGGCCGTTCCAAACCGGTCGAGGATATGTTCCTCTCATCGACTGTCTGCCACCTCGAAATCAGGGCAGCGTCGAGATCGATCGAGATCTCACCGTGATATCCTCACCTGTTACGTTCGAGAACCGCGAGAATCCAGTTGAGAGGGAACGACCGGACTGGTTCGGCCATTATAGCTCGCCTTTCGACGAATACTTTCGGAAATTTAGCTCGCGATATTCGTTCTTTCGCAAGAAAAAAAATTTTCTTCGAAGATCTCGTTGCTTCGATCCATTCTTCAATTTCGCGATCGTGTTTATAGACGTTTGAAATTGACTTTTTCTTTTTTTTTTAACGAATACACACATCGATATGACTCGTTGGATATCTTTATTAATGAGACCCTTGACTCAGGTCTCGCGATGCGATTTCTTTTTTCTTTTTTTTTTTTTCTTTTTTCCATTTCCTTTCTCTCATTTCAACACCACGAAATATATCCAACGAATATTGCCCCTATTCAAATTTCTCGATCCTTCCCTTTGATCTCTTTGACGATACCCACCAATTAATTTCGACGCGATTAAAAGAAACACCGCGACAGCTAAACCGCGCATTATTTTTAGCATATCGAGAAAAAAGGGGGAGGGGGATGGGGGAAGGGAATTCGAATCGAAACCGTCGATATGTATAAAAAAAAAAAAAAAAGAAAAAAAAAGCGCGCACCGATTCTTTCATTCGCGAGCCACCACGCGTGGGAGTCACACGGAGGCTCGTCGATAATCGGTTGATTGTCGCAACGAGAGAGAGAGAGAGAGAAAGAGAGAGGGGGAGGGAGAAGCGAAAAAAAGCGTACAAAAAAAAAAGGACGGAAAAAAAGCGAACGCAAAAAAAGAAAAAAAATATAAAAATAAAAACTCGGGAGGGGACAAAAAAAAAAGGAGAAACAATGACAAAGGGTGGCACGGGGACGAAGCGGTGGATAACGAGCGTATCGCAACGTGTCGGACAAATAATTATTATCGGGCTTCTGTCCGCGAGCGGTCTCACATCCGCTTTGATCCCGGTAGGAAATACGAGAGCGAAATACGAGAGCGGCAGAGTCTGGTTCGAGGTAGATACTCTCATAATCGTACGGCAAATAGAATTATCGCGTTGCGCGCGGCCATTCCCGACGAGCACAGCTTATACCGGGTTTCGCTCGTTTCCCCTATTATACGCGTCGTCTGCTAAATGACGCTGTACTCTGATCCACCTCCTGCTCTCTCTCTATCTCCCTCTCTTTCTATCCTCCACACCCCTTCTGCCACTTCTATACACCTCCGCGTCGCGTTTCTCTATCCCCTATTCAGCTGACCGTCACCTGCTCGCTGCTTTCTGCCCGCGACTAGCCTCCTCCTGCTTTCAAGGTGTACCTCTCTCCTCCTTGTCAATTGCCTGCCACCTAACCGTGCTTGGCTATTCACCTCGTTTCACCTCTTCGCTCTTCGCGGATTTCTTTCCACGAGTTCCTTTCTTTTCC